ATCATGTATGAGGACCTTTGTATACAGCTAGTTCTTATATATTGTTTTCCTCTTCCTCTTTGATACACGAACCATCCAGTTGCATCTGTTATCATGTTGTATATAGTCGTTGGGGATGTTTTGGAGCCTTTTGGGGATGATTTTTTTACTCAAAAAGGCTGCCTATAACATGGTGCATCGATGCACACTATCAAGGTGCATCGATACCCCTTCATTAAATTCAAATAAACTAGACGTTACTAGCCGTTGCAGCCTTCGTGCATGGATACACAGCAGGGTGCATCAATGCACTAAGTGCATTCGAAATGGAGTGCATGGATGCACTGCATAGTGCATCGATGCACTGCATGGTGCATCGATGCACTAGTGGCAGGTGCATGAATGCACTGCAGGAGTGCATGGATGCACTGCAGGGGTGCATAGATGCACTACAGGGGTGCATGGATGCACTGCAGGAGTGCATGGATGCAATTTGACACCATTTAGCATTTTTGCTCAAATCCAAATTTAATGGACTTTAAATTATTTTTGAAACCTTTTTAAAACTTTGAATAAATTCAATTCAAGTCCAAAAACATTTTGCCTTAAATTTTTTTATATCGAAACATAATTCAACAATCTCCCCCTTTTTGATATAACAAAATATTTGAAAAATTGTTTTTGGCAAAACTCCCCCTTAATAAAATGTTTACTGAGAAAAGATATCAATTGTTAATAAAATGATATCAATTGTTACCAATTGTTTGAAAATATATGAAAATGTTAAGCTCCCCCTTTTCATTAAGAAATTGAATTTTTCAAACCAAACTTCTCCCCCTTTTTGTTATATAAAAAATAATTCAATCTTTTAAGTTAAAAATAACTTTGGAGAGTAAGTAGTAAATTTGACATTTTAAAACTCATATGAAAAATCAAAGCTCCCCCTCAATAAATGCTTTCCAAACAAAATTTAGCTTTAAGAACTTGACACTTAAACAAAATTGAATTTCAACAAAGAATAACAAACATGTTAGTAGTTCATGAAATTCAATACATCCAAGTCTAAAATACTTTATGCAATATTAATTATTGAAATTAAGTGCATATGCATAAAGTTTTCCAAAAATGTTATGCATTTGAAAATTTTGATATCAATTGTTAGAGATATATCATTTTCATTTAAATCACATGCACAAACATTTAAATTTAGGTCAAAATTTTAAAATTTGTAAAATCAAATTTTTTGAAAAATTGATATCAATTGTTAGAGAGATATCATTTGCATTAAAACCCATTTTGACCAAAATTTCATTATGATGAACTAAGAATTATGTAAAATCATTAAATCATTAAAAATGTTCATCATACTAATTGTTTTTAATATACATGAGATTAAAACAAAACATAATCATTTAAATCCAAAACTCATGCATGCTTAAAAATAAATGAGCAACCAAATATCCAAAATTAAAAGTATTAAGCTTAGAGGTTACCCATTCCGTTTTCACGTGTGGCTAGAGCATCTTGAATATCACCACTTTCATCACCATTGCTCCCACGCACCTACAAGAGACATTTAAGTAGCTTTTGGTATCCAAATTGCTTTGGATCCTTAAACGTTAGTTTCAATGCCCCTTGTTCATTTCGGAACCCATACTTGCCTAATTTTAAAACATTTTCCTTTCTTCAAAGGACAAGTATGTTCCTTGTGACCATGATAATGTCAATGTGAGCATATTGTCATTATTGAACTAAATGAATTATTTAAAATGATTTCTTTTTCTTTTGTTAAGCATTCAAGCTTAACTTTTAAATCAAAATTTTCTTTTTCAAAACTTTCAATTTTTATTTTTAAAAGCTCTAAATCTTTTTCAAAATTTCATTTTGGCTCTCAAAATCTATTTTTGTTTTCAAAAGAAAATCATTTTCGATTTTAAATTTTGAAATCATTTTCTTATATTTGGAGTTCATGGTCTCAAATTTCGAATATAACCTATTAAAAGCATCTTGTAACTCATCAAACGTATATGAATTAAATTCAATTGAGTTAGAAGATACCTCGAGCTCTTCACAAGCCATTAGAGACACCACATTTGTTGGTTCTTCTTTCTTGCTTCCATGGATTTCCTCGAGCTTATTCCAAAGCTCCTTGGCACTTGAACATGAAGAAACTCCTTCATAGATTTCAGGACCAAATGCACACAACACCATGTGCATGGCCTAGGCATTAAGTTGAGCTTTCTTCCGTTCTTTGTCACTCCGCTTTTTCTCCTTCTTCTTTGGAGAAGAGTATTCGTTCTCGATTATCTCCCATGCATAAAGATCATTGGATTAGATGAATACCTTCATTAATTTCTTCCAATGATGATAGTTGACTCCATTGAAGTATGGAGGCTTGTCCGTTGGTAGGGAGTCTTCTATGTGGAACAAGCCGGAGGTGGAAGCCATCTTCTCGATTCTGTCGGGAATTGGTAGAGCTTCTTCGAGGATCGTCTCAAGGTGGTTAAAACTTCTTAACGAGTTAGGCTCTGATACCAATTGTTGAGATTTTCGGAAGCTCGATTCGACAACCAGAACGGTTTGCAAAGAGGGGTCGAAACGATTTTTGAGTTTAGGCAGTAAGGAGATTCAAAAAGAGAAAATTGCACAGAGATTTAGAGTGGTTCGACTTTCTAAACCAAAGTCTACGTACACTACCTTAGCTCCTCACCAAGGATTTTCCAAAAAATTCACTAATTTTTTCTTTCTTTTGAGGACAAAGAGATAACCTTACAACTCCCTAGTTTTTTCGGGCTAAACTAGAACCTTTCCCTAGCTTTTACACGGGATAAGATAGAACCTTTCCCCTTTACAAAAGGATAAAATAAGTAAACAAGAAAACCTCTCTAAGGTATGTGTTTACAAGATTGAGCTCACAAGAACAAAATATTTACAAGAGAAAGATGAAATAAGAATGAAAAACTCTTCTCTTGTGTTTGATTGCTTAAATAGTTGTTCTCTCTCTTCTTCAAGTGTCCTTAGCTTATATTTATAGCTTGGAATGTGTTTGATGTTGTATATAGCCGTTGGGGATATTTTGAAGCCGTTTGGGGATGATTTTTCTACTCAAAAAGGCTGCCCATAACATGGTGCATTTGTGCACTATCAAGGTGCATTGATACCCCCTTCATTAAATTCAAATAAACTAGCCGTTACTAGCCGTTGCAACCTTCGTGCATGGATGCACAGCAGGGTGCATCGATGCACTAAGTGCATTCGAAATGGAGTGCATGGATGCACTGCATGGTGCATCGATACACTAGTGGCAGGTGCATGGATGCACTGCAGGGGTGCATGGATGCACTGCATGGTACATCGATGCACTAGTGGCAGGTGCATGGATGCACTGCAGGGGTGCATGGATGCACTGCAAGGGTGCATGGATGCACTGCAAGGGTGCATGGATGCACTTTTACACCCTTTAGCATTTTTGCTCAAATCCGAATTTAATGGACTTTGAATTATTTTTGAAACCTTTTTAAAACTTTGAATAAATTCAATTCAAGTCCAAAAAAATTTTGCCTTAAATTTTTTTATATCGAAACATAATTCAACATTACCATATGAATTGTTCGTGGAGCCACCTCGGTGGAGATCGTAACAAGTTGTTGATGAATGTCTCCCTATTGAACTTGATGGGATGACACCAGGATGTGGATTTCTCATTGACGATTTAAAATTATTACGCATTACTTGAGTTGGGCTATCAACTTGTTGAGTCAGCCCATAGTGGGAGCATAATTACATATCACGAACCATAAACACTTCAATAAATGTGACATACATTTGTGTATCAACGTTTGAATTTTGATTCTGAGCATCAACCATCATAGAAACATTGTCATCGTTAGAGAGTTCGAATGTTGTATAAGTTAACGGAAATAGTGTAGTCAGAAATCTGTACTGAAGTGAGTATAGTCTTCTAGTACTTCCAACATAAACATTTCTTGAAATTTTAGTGATCAGCTCCTCAAGAGTGATGTTTCTCTTGAAGGATATTCTGACTGAATGATTTGATGCGAAGACAACGTTGGTTTCATCTTCCCGAATTTCTATATCATGGTAAATAATAGTTGAAATACGCCGCATTTTGTTAGTTTAAGAGCTTGAAAGAATGAGAGTCTTATATATGCAAAAACAATAGCCGAATACACCTAATTAAATAAATAATATACGAAATAAAATATAAACTAATGCTAAAAAAATTAAAAAATCATAATAATTTAAATAACATAATTTAATATTGTTATCGTGTTGGAAAAATGTCTCGAGATATAATCTCGCCTTCCATTTTAAAACCGTAAAAAATAATACAAAATAATTAGTATAATAAAATTTGGTCAAAAAATAAATATAAAATGAATATAATATAATAAAAAATAATTTTATCTTCTAAAAACTATAACAAAATCTATTTAGCTTGATAGAAAGAATAATGTGAAAGTAGTTTCAGTGTGATTTGATGTTTGCATTCAGAAGTATTTATAAGGGAGGGGGAGGGTGATTGAAAAAGTTAGCTTAGGTAATAATAGATTGCTCAATAATTCATGAATAATGGAAGGCCGCCTCATGATCCGCGTCTTCCATGTACGTGTTAAATTTTATAGCGAATGTTCGTTTTATGATCTACGTTTTTTTTACCGTAACGTCAGTTCAGATAAAACCCTGTGAAAACGTGACTCAATCTATACTTTATCAGAAAAAAATGATAGATTGATAATATTTAAAGAAATGGTGTATGACATGTAATACTTCGTTGTTGTTGGAGTGTTATTTAGGTCAAATTGCCTATTTAATTTACATTGAAGTAGTAAGAAGAAATTAACGAAACGAAGTCGCCTAGATACCCATCTTCGTCAGAGTTGAAAATCTAATTTATTTGCCTTGAATTCCAAAAACATTATATAGTAGTATTTTATTATTGAATTTTCATAGCAATTTAGCTTTCTGAATCTCTGGTTATTCTACGGGGAAAAGTTAAGGAGTAAAAAAATGCTTGGTGGGTTGTACGGAGATCTTCCGCCGCCGTCCGATGAGGATAACCAGCCGAGCAGTAACACTACGGTTTGGTCAAGCAGCACGAAGATGGCTCCTCCGACTCTCCGCAAGCCTTTCTCCGGCTTTGCTCCGCCGCAGACCATCCTCAGATCTCAAAACAAACCAAAAAATCCCGTTCCCAAAACCACCCCTTATTCCGTTCCCTCCTCCATCTCACCCTCTCCCGCGGCGATGTCAACCGATTGTATGGCGCAACAACAGCCTGCACTTGTGGGCGTCACTTCCAGTGTAATAGAAGAGTATGATCCGGCCAGGCCCAATGACTACGAGGAATACCGGAGGGAGAGGAAGAGGAAGGCTATGGAGGAGGAGATGAGAAGGGAATTGGAGAGAAGGCGGAGAGAAGAGGAGGAAAGGGAGAGGGAAAGAGAAGAGAGGGAAAGAGAAAGAGAAAGAGAAAGAGAGAGAGATTTAAATGATTCAAGGCTGAATATTTCAGGCGAGGAAGCTTGGAGAAGGCGTGCGGCTATGAGCGGCGGGGTTCCAAGGTCCCCATCTCCGCCGCCGGGAAAAGCTGAGGGTTTCACTATTGGAAAGTCGGAGACAAGTGGACTGGGAGTTGGGGCTGGCGGGCAGATGACTGCCGCCCAAAGAATGATGGCCAAAATGGGCTGGAAAGAAGGCCAGGGTCTTGGGAAAAAGGAGCAAGGGATTACTACGCCATTGATGGCCAAGAAGACTGATAGGAGAGCTGGTGTAATTGTGAATGCCAGTGAGACTTCCAAGCCTGACAAGAAGGTTAAGAGTGTTAGTTTCAATGGCCCCCCTACTCGTGTTTTGCTGCTTAGGAACATGGTAATGCCTAATTCTTCATCTCCATTCCTTTAGATGCTCCTTTTTATCCATGTTTTACATACATGCCGTATCTTATTGCAATTTAAACTTCACTGCCAAATGTGTTTTTTCCACCTATGTCATCCGTAATCCATGTCCCAATGCATCGTATATGAGTATGTTGAAAAAATGAAGACTCGGAGTACATAGCTCCCTAGTATATCCTAATATTCTGAAGCTCTTGATGCTTCTGTTATTGATCATAGTGATTAGTGAGTGAACTGTAAATTCCTCTAGGCTCATTCCTGCAATTTTGTCCTCGTTTTACTTATCATATCTGGTTGCAATTTAAACTTTGCTGCTCACAGTGTGTTTTCTGTCTATGCCGCTCAGACTCATGGTTATATTATTTTTAAAAGATTTCCATGATGGTTCTGGGGGATAAGTTGCACATTAGCCATGTTCGAATGTGTAGGATATGGGTATTTTGTGAAAAATGAAGAGTCGACATAGCATAGATTTCTGGCATATCCTTTTTTTATGCTTTCTGTTGCTTGCAGTTTTTGACGATTGCCTTTCTGAACTGTAAATTTCTTGAGGCTGCTTCTTGCAGTTTTGTCCTTGTTTTACCTGCACTTCACTGCTCAAAGTGTGTTTCCTAGCTGTGTTACTTGGACTTAGGTTTAAGTGTTGAACAATTTTTTCAAGTTTTTCATTTATTTGGAGGGTTCTGGAAAATAATATCTCCAAGCCATGTCCATTGTGTCGGATATGAGTATTCCAAGAAAAATGAAGATTCTTAGTAACATAGCCAAAGTTGCTGTTATACAATTTTGACTTGAACTCTTTGGTTGAATATTGTTATAAGGTGCTCTCTTTGGTCTTAGGTGATGCTCATAGCACATTGTAGCTATCGTCATTTTCCCTGTAGTCCTTTCATTGCTTGCCGCATTGCACTAACTCCTGGACTTTTCTTGTTTCAATCTGATATACTTTTAATTATATACCTCACATAGGCTCTCCTAGCAAGAGACTGCTTGAGGAGGAAGATTAAGTGTTTCTTGTTCTTTTCTTTTGGTTTCTAGTCCTCTAACTTGGGTTGTCCTATTAGTAACTATGGAGTGGAACAATCATTGCATCTGTAATTATGAATTAAATATTTTACCAAATGCATTGATTCTTTCCACCAAGAATTTCTGCAGGAATAGCAGATACTATCTGGTTCTTATGTTAACTGCTAGAGTTTCTGTTCTTTTGGTTTTATTTTTTGTACGAAAAAATCAATTGTTTATACCAAGCTATGGTGAAGCCTTGGATGCTTTATGAACTTGATGATTAGCTTGCATTGCATTGATTCATATTAGTGAGATAAAAGGTATCTTTTTTTTAGGATTTAGTAGAAATGATAATGTTGGTTGTGGATCCCCTAATTTTGTCTGTAATTCAGTGCTGCTTATGTTTTATTTAATCTTCCTTTAGTTTTGTCCCTTGTCATTTTGAACTATATTTGCTCCAATTCTTTGGTTTTCTTAATAGATCCATGTTTGACATATTTTTAGACATGGATATGGGACAACAGAGGATATATATTTTTGCTGTCTTAATGACTACAATCAATAATAGTGAGAGTGGCTAACTATTAACTTTTTGAAGGTTGGCCCCGGTGAGGTAGATGATGAATTAGAAGATGAGGTTGGATCCGAGTGTGCCAAGTATGGAACGGTTACCCGAGTTCTGATATTTGAGATAACAGAGCCAAATTTCCCAGTCGATGAAGCCGTCAGAATCTTTATTCAGTTTGAGAGATCAGAGGAAACAACTAAAGCATTAATTGACCTCGATGGTCGTTTTTTTGGGGGTAGGGTTGTTAAAGCTTGCTTTTATGACGAAGAGAGATTTAGTAAGAATGAGCTGGCTCCGATGCCGGGGGAAATTCCAGGTTTCTCTTGATGCAGTATTAAAGTCCCAGAGAAGGTCAATGGACTGTTACGTTTCCAAGTAATGCTAATAGCAGAGAATGAGGTCTCGAACTGGAGTCTGTTTATATCATGACATGGATGCTAGTAGCATCCGAACTTTGAATTAGGTCGAGTTTCATGTAGACGTCTCATATTGAATGCTTGTAGTGCTAAACCCCCAGCACTTTGCATGGGGTAGTCGTAAGTTTAAGTTTAGGCGTCATTCTGTATTTCATTAGGGCTGTGGATTACTTTTTCAAGTTATTGATATATTGTTAAACTGTTATTATATCCGGGGGAACATTTATTGAATTTTTTCCATTTAGAACAAAACAGATTCCATTGAGATTTAAACTATTATCATGTCAAATCACATTTTTGTTCTCTCTAATATTTAACAGTAATGAAATATAAATATAAATATTTTAATTAAATAGTTAAGTAACCGATAAAAAGTCTGGGTAGATTTAGTTTGTTATCTATAGATAACTTCTAGTTTGTTAGGATTAGATATTATCTTTAATTTGAAATTTAAATTTGTACAGTTTGTTATCCAGCTTAATAGGAGTAAAACTTCAGGATCTAACCTATAAAAAGGTTGTACTTTGTAAATATTTTGATATGAAAAAATACTGTGAAAATATATCTAATTTTCTACGGTTTCTACATGGTATCGGTTTAGGTTTCGATTCCTCAACCTAACGATGTCCGACTCATCTTCAAATAATAGCAACTCTATCACAGAACCTGTTTCGGGTTCTGATGGTATTTCTGACCTAATTTTGTTACATGTCACAAAATGAGTATCTTTACCAATCAGCATGTTGAAGAACTTCAAAAGTTGTTTCGTCAATTTTCTGGACCTGTCACCTCCAATCTTGCTACTTGTCAACATGATGGTCCCTTCAAACGAAAACTCCAACATGGATTCCTAACTTGGGGGCATTTGATCACATGACTGGGAATAAAGATGAGTTTCAGTTTCAACATATTCGGTCCTCTATTCTTACAACAGATGGTTCTTTGTCTGCCATTGCAGGGAGTAGTTCGATTTTTGTGGATAAGGACATAATCTTACATGATGTTCTCTATGTCACCTCCATCAGTAAATTATCAAAAGATTTGAATTGTGTAGCCACATTGACTGATAAAATTTGTATTTTGCAGGCAACGAACTCGGGGAGGATGGTTGGCAATGCTAGACAACCAAATGGACTTTACACTCTTCAAACACAGCAGATTTCATCTTCTCCAAATAATCCTAATGGTTCTTTTTCCTCTAGTTTTTCTATTGCTTCGGAAAAGTCTAATGATATGCTGCTATGGCATTTTCAGTTGGATCACCCTAATTTTTTCTATTTAGCCAAGTTATTCTCACATTTATTCATTAATAGAAAACCAAATACTTTTCATTGTTCAATATGCTAACTTGCTAAGCACACAAAATGCCATTATCTTGCTTCTACATATGCGTCCTCTAAACAGTTTTTCCTAATATATAATGATATTTGGGGCCTTTCTAAAGTCAAGAATATTAATGGTTGTAGATGGTTTATCACTTTTATTAATGATCATGGTCGAAGTACCTGAACTTACTGACTAAAAGAAAAATCAGAAACTGTCACTGTCTTCATACGTTTTTATTATATGGTTGAAACCTAATTTTAAAGTCAAATACAAATTGTTCAATATAATAATGGAGAGAGTCTTTTGCCACAACATTAGGAGCTTTTTTGTTTTAGAGAAAAGGGGATAGTGCAAATTAGTTCTTGTGTTGACCCTCCTCAACAAAATGGTATTGCTGAAAAAGAAAAAAAACAGACATTTGTTTGAAGTCGCTAAAGCTTTATTGTTTTCTTCTAATATTACAAAACATTACTAGGGTGAGGAACTTTTAACTGCAACCAATTTAATTAATCGCATGCCTAGTAAAGTTCTAAATTTTCAAACCCCTCGATCTATTTTTTGGTCCTGTATCCTAATTTCAAACCCATGTCATCCCCTCTTCCTTTACGAGTGTTTGTAGTCTAACTCGATCTAAAGTGAATTCTCAATCTATTAAATGCATCTTTTTAAGATATTCTTCACTAAAGAAGGGCTACGAATGTTATTCTATTTTTTCTCATAACTCATATTTCCATGGATTTCACCTTTTTTGAACAAGTTCCATTTTTGAGCTAGCTTAAAATTAGGGGGAGAATATGGGTGTTTTCCAGCCCTCTCAAACCATTCAAGATGATGAAATTGTTTCACATTACAATCATTTTCATTTACCTTTAGTACCCTCAAAACTTTCGCCATCTTCTATTCTAAACACCTCCATACCTACACCTACTGAATTATTTCTAATGAATTCTAAACCTTCTTCAACAACTCCTTCAAATACTCAAGCTTCCACTGATCCAATCCTTGCTTATACAAGAAGACCTAAAATTGTCTTGGAGGTTATTTTTCAGTCTAGTACTTGCCAAGAATTGATACTCAGTCCAGTTTTATCCAAAGAAAACAGAGGTAATGTTGTTTCTTCTCTTGATCAGAATAATGATGACTTAGCTATTGCTAAAAGGAAGGGTGATAGATAGTGTACTAAACATCCAATAAACAGATTTGTTGCCTATGGGAAGTTGGCATCCTCTTTTAAAAGTTTTACAATCAATTTGGACGAAAAGCAAATACCAACAACCATAGAGGAGGCATTACAAGATCCTAAATGGAAAAAAACCGTCAATGATGAACTTGAAACTCTAGAAAAGAATCACACATGGGTGATGGTCGATTTACCAAAAGGAAATAAACTTGTTTGTTGCAAATGCGTGTTTGATGTGAAGTATAACTCTGATTACACTGTAGAAATGTACAAAGCTAGGTTTGTATAAAAATGTTTCACACAAACCTATGGGATTGACTGCAAGGAGACGTTTGCACCTGTCACTAAGTTAAACACTGTGTGTTCTGTTGAGTCTGACAGTCAATAATGAATGGGGTCTTTATCAACTAGATATAAAGAATGTTTACTCAATAGATGGTTAGAGAAAGAAGTTTACATGAAGATTTATTCGGGCTTAAAAACGGCTTCAGAGATTCAAAAGGTGTGTAAATTAAAAAAAAGGCTATCCATGGTCTTAAACAGTCTCCGCGTGCCTGGTTTAATCGGTTTACAAAGTTACTTATCAAGGATGGTTATTGAAATACCCCAAATTTTGGGTCAGTAGTTCTGGTCAACCCCAAACACGTAAGTCAAGCCCATTAGATTTCCTAATCCAGTTCTTATGAGTATTGGGCCTAAGGTAGGCCCAAAAGTTAAAGCTGAGTGGTGGTTTAAGTTGGGTTTAAAAGTTGATGGACCACAAGTGTAGTTTACCTATGGCTTGTTTTAAAGGATAAAACCCCCTTAAACCAAGTGATTTTCACGTGAAAACAAAGCTTCCCAAAACTATCTCATTTTCTCTTTCCTTTTTCCTTTCCAAGAGCAAGCAAAGGTAGAAGATTTAAGAATTCCAAGTCTAGTTTGGAGCAACCAAGGTAAGAATCCTAATCATCACCCTTCAAGCTCCATTTGAGCCACTAATATCAAGTTTTGAACATGGTTTCAAAAATGGGTTTTTAGGAAGGTTATGAAAATCAAAGGATTCAAGTTTATTTTAGTAAATTTGAGTTGTTTGGAGTATCTTTAACCTTGTTTTAAGCTTTAGATAAGTTAGTAAACCCGTTTCTTATATTTGATTAGCTAAAGAGATGGGAAAAAGTTTAAAGGCTAGAGGTAGGGAGAAATTTCAAGGGCTAGAGGTAAGGAGAAAGTGAATCCTACTTGATTCGAGAGAAATTCTAGCAACCCAGAAGTCAGGTAACACACTCACAGCTTCCTTATACCATTTTTAAATCATTATAAATGTGTTTTAGCTAGAAAGTTAGTTGAGGCATGTTTAGTAAGTTTTCATGGTGGATTTCATAAATTATGTTGTTAGTTTGTATTAAAGCCTTCTTATGACCCCTAATGATCAAATAAGACTTAATAACAAATGGGAAACATCTAAGTAGGAAGTTTGGGAAGTTTGAGAGGCCATTTCGAGCCTAAATAAGACATTTTCAAACAGGGGTATCAATATTGTATGAGTTAATATCGATATTGTTCTTTAGATAATATAAAAAATTATTAAGTTTAAAGGGAGTATCGATATGTATTGATGCTATAGGGTTGGTACCGATACGCATAGGATGGTATCGATACTGGGTTTGCAAATCAGATTCTAGTAGCCATTTTTAGTACTTGTACTCTAGGGAGTATCGATACCCAAGGTCCCAGTAACGATACTCCCATATGAGTACTGATACTTCATTTTTCTTTCTAGGCATTTTAGAAGGGGTATCGATACCTTTGGGTATGGTATCGATACTGAAGAGAGGGTATCAATACTATAAGGCCAGTATCGATACCCAGGGTTATGTTTTGGGATTTAATTCAAGAAGAGTTATAAAAGCAAGTGAGGTTTCCCAAAAACTTATAATTACTCTCAAATAAGACTACAAGTGAAAATAATAGTAAAATTAATTCAAACATAAAAATGAGATAAAGTATGATGAAATAAGACTAGCCTTGTTTGAATGCTCTGGAAACGATCAGGACACCCGAGTTCTTTTAGAAAAGCTAGCAGTGTCGAAAGTATAAATTCAGTCTGGATATATCCTTAGGGAGTGCATAAGGCACTTTAAGCTGACTAACTAATGCCAAGGCCTGACACTCGCAAGGGGTGGGTTAGTCGAGGGTGTAGTGTTCGATTCAGAGATTCCGAGGGCCTCATCCTCGGTAAACTAGAGGGGTATGTGAGCTCCAATATACAAAATCTTCAGTCGCACCATGATGTATACTATAGAGTATAGAGTGAGTATACAGTATACTCACTAAAGAAAAGCGGTAGACTTGATAGCTTGAACCTTTTAGCGATATACAGTTAGTATGATTTAGCTGTTATTATGGCGTTGAGCTAGTTAGCTCAGCCTTCGGATGTTTTCGTTGGCAGGTTAGTAGATTGAGCAGTCGAGGAGTTGTATAGTGAATGAAGACCAAATCAGAGTACGTCTCAGCATTTTTAAAGGGCATGTATATTTGTAAACATTATTGTCTAGTTGATCGTAGATTCAGTTTAAAGTTGGTATGCATTATTTTATAATGTAAATATTTTATTTTGGAGCTCCCCAATGTAAAGTTTTTATTATATTTTATTTTTATTTTATGGTTGCTTTAAAGTCAGAGAAAGTAAGAAAATGTTGGTTAGCCACTTCGGTGGTTCCGTGT